TCATGTACGGCAATCCGATCATGGCACATTCAAATATAATCATACCGTTTGTGTAGATGCATCACGAATGTGTACAAATAAAATAAACCTATCCAAAAATGCAAAGTGTGTAAACGAGGTATTTTTTTAAAGAAATAATATAAAATACATTTTGTACATTTTCGTTGATTACGAGTGCTGAAGGATGTTCGTACATAATTTTCGTTTGGATGTCCTTATATTTAATGTCATCTTCATCGTTTGTCCTATAACAATTTCAATTGATGTGTATACATGACATTTTGTGTTGATGATTTATTTTTCTCTCCTTCTCGGGAGAAAATTAAACTACAATTATGTGGTGATATTCAACATTCCCCATATTTAACATATATGAGTACATGTTGTACTACATTGGAGAAAATTACAAAAATTCCAAAAACGTATTATTATTATTATTATTATTATTTAAGAATGTAAGGACGACGTTTATAGCAACTTGTAGTGGAATGCATTTTATTGTGTAAATTAAATGATTCAATTATACTTAAAAAGTGAAGGAGACCATATTACTTAGAAATATTTACGAGTTATAATAATTGGTAAAACAAATTGCATTGTTGCTTAATGAAAATGTTACCCTATCTTTATTGGTTTGTATTATCTATTACCTAAACTATTTAATATTTTGTTTTAATATTATTAGATAGTACACTCTAATAATATGTTGTTGAATCTTTATACAAGTTCGATATGATTAAAAAAAATTTAATTAATTTAATATGCTATCAATATTTATAATTATCATATATTTATGGACATAACAGTATAAGTTAAAGGTACCTAACAATTTGAATCTCAGTAAATTTTGAAAAAAATAATGATTTATGCATTAATTTTTCAATTCAATTGTATTTATTTGGTATAATTTTTTTAATAATTTAAAGTAATTACTGTATTTGCAAGTGCATCGCATTTTGGAAAATGTTAATATCCTTGATAATCATAATAACATTTTTTTAATTGATATTTTAGTATCTACTTTGAAATAAAATTTAACTGAATTTTATAGTATGAATTTTATTCATTTCAGGTTTAAATGGAAGAAACAGCGTATAATAAAATTATTTTCTGTCCTCTCCACTACTAATATTATTCAAACGTATAAATAATAAATTATTAATTCGACATTTGATGTGAATAAATTACAATTTTTCAAACCAATATTTTACTTGATGTCATATAATATGCCATTTGCAAAGCTAAAGGGTAGATACGATATATTCCATTTTTGATTGAAAATTTGTTTCAAAAGAATATTAACATAAAATAAATCAGAAGCTGTAGACTTACCATATGCCTAGTATATGGGACTTATGCATTCATGATTGAATTTCGGTAATATTCAAAAAATGTGTCTTTTAAGTTCCATAAAAAACATACAGAGTCATAAGGTTTCATAACATGTTCTAAGAACTAAAGAGATGGTATATGTTCTATTTACTTTGCAGTGCCATGAACATTTAACATTTTTTCTGTAAATTTATTTGTTTCAATACTCTAATTTTGTAATAAATTATTTTAATACTGTATTGTTACAAGGTTTTATTTTTTATTTTTGGTTGATAAATATAAAATATTGGTATTTAAGTAGTAGTTTTTATTAATATATGTAAATGACTAACACATTATTTTTCTTTATTATTGTAGAAAAAAATATTTCTATAGAGAAAAACTTATTCCATAGAACAAAGTTGGCAACATTTTTCTTTTATATTTTGTACCATTTAAAACATAATGTTATATTTTTAACTGTGCATAAACATTTTATTAGCTATAAAGTATTTTGCTTTTTTAATAATGACGTTACATCAATAGTATGGACACGCCATTCGTTTATGAAATGTGACGTACATACTTGTATCTTCATATCGTACACGAAAATAACGATCATAGATACTCGTTTAACGGAGAGTTAAAAATTACCGACTCAAATTGCATCAAAAACAACCCAAAACAACGTTTATTAGAAAAATTAAAAATAAAAAAATTTAATTAAAATGTTAGTTTTGAACGAAGTCAATAACGATAATTTTTTGCAAGCTACACTATATAAATATATACTACAGTATAATATAGCGTATATATATATATTTATCACATAAACATATATACATAAAATATGTATTAAATGAGTTTACTAAAATCTAGGAGGATGACACTCAAGTAGTAGGTCGTGCCTTTAATAAATTATCTCTATCATTTAATGTCAATTATAAGTCAAAGTATTCCGAAATGTCTTGATAAAATCTGTTAACCTAAATACTCAGCTTAGATAGTATGGTAATAAGTCAAAGCTGCCAAACAAAAATAGAAAACGTCAGGACAGCTTTAAATTGATAAACCACAAATGCAAACACATTTCTAATTCATATTATATGACATACAGTTAGAATATACCACCGATCTTTCACAATGGAATAAAGCAGTCGAATATAATGGTTATGATAATATATTTAACCATAGGTGTGATTAAAATCAATTTATTTTCTTCGAGACTTGTGAGTTGAATTACAAAAATCAATTTTCATGAAAAAATGAGTTATGAAATACAGAGTTATTGTGAAATAAAAAATGGGTTGAAGCACTAGACAAAGATGTACAATAAGGGGAGGAAAAATCGGTGAATCCTTCAAAAGTTATTTACATGTGTTTGGATGTTTTTCTTTGATGTTTTTAAAACTATTATTTAAAAATACATGTCTGATTTTAGTAAAATTTACAAATAACTAGAAATAAATGTTATAGTTACAGGATTAAATAAAATTGTCGATACAATGTTTGCCGTATCTATTAATTGTACATTTTTATGGAATGGATAAATCATATCAATGAAGAAAGTGTTATAAAATATGTTGAAATAATTGAAAATATTTCATACTTTATTCGTCGTTTATCTCTTGATGTAACTTAAGTTTCTATGAGCTTATAAAATAAATTGACTAAGCTAAATTTTTAGTATTATTTTGGATAAAACATACTTGCATTTTTACAATTAAATGGTTAGGTATTTAAAGTAAAAAATATCAAAGATCAAAAATAAAATAAAATGTATTTAACTTTATATTTTGGATAAAAATGGCCAAAGTTATTTTAAGTATATTATCATATATATTACACAGTAAAATTATCATTAAACATTTTTTAATATCCTGATATACTTAATTATTTTTTGAATTAAAATAAATCATTTCGTATATATATTTAATAGTGATTTAATAGTATATAACAGTATACATATTTAAAAATATTTTCTTGTTTTATTTAAATACTTATATATTTATCAAAAACGTTTTTAATATAAAATAATTGTTGACTATTTGAAAAAAACACTATCTAGCAACTTTATGGAATTTTAATTTCTAGTCAGAATAAAATCACTCGACTGTATGAAAAATGGATCGGCGAATTACACTTAGAAACAAATATATTATATAAACCTATTAGTTTCAAATTTATTTTTTTTGAAACCTAACTTAACTTAAATCGTTCAATTAATTAAATAAACAGTAGGTACTGAAGGTTTTACAGTTTTAGATACATATATTATATCTACTTCCAAATAATTAGTAAAATAATGAAAATAGTTTGATAGAAAAACAACTACACGTATGAAACTACTAAAGATACATTAAGCACACAAAATAAAAGGTAATCAATATGCCTATTTTGAAACGCAATAAATTTAATTATGCACAGTCGGTTGTCAGTACTTCATTATAAATAGTAAATACTATAGTAAAATATGTGGTAAGCCGAATCACAAGTTAAATTATTATTTACGTCTACCAGTTAAAGAATACAGAGGTAATAACATTTCTTAAAAGAATGTCAATATCCAAATGATGTAATAAAACAGAAATAGCATTGAAACCGGAATTAAAACGAACAACTTTTAAGTATTTCTCTACTGAATTTTTAGGCAAAATAAGTTATTGTCAACATCTTTTTTTTTATATTCATTGATATTAAATATAGCTATTTTACATTAAATTGTTTTGGCGTTCACTAATTTATTTTCATGGTTTTGAAAGTGTCTTACTGAGTTAAGTGAAATATCTTTAATAAAAAATAATCTTATCTGTATACATTAATTCAAAATATCATGAACGATTGACGTCTGACGTGCGTTATAATTTAAAGCAATATTGGTTACAATATTCCCATGTTAGTTTTATTAAACGTTTTGACAGTAATCAACTTCTGCATTGAAACGTAAACAATATTTTATAATACTAATTAGTTTTGGCTTTTCGTTAAAGCATTGTGTTAATATTATTTTTCCACTGACGTATTTCCTATACCTTTAAAAATATTACACATATTATTTCCACTAAGATTAAAATAAAAAATAATATTGTATTAAACCATTAATAAAAATCACTATCGCTATCTTTGAAAATATTTTTACAAAACAATTTACGTTTACGAATCCAGATGTCGAAAGCGAGAGATCTTTTATCTTTATCTATATAGTTAAGAAATTTTTTGGTTTCGGTCCA